GGGGGGTTGGAACTGGATAAGCTTTAAGGTCCCTTCCAACCCAAACCATTCTATGATTCTGTGTTAAAAATGAAAACTGGTGTTGGATACCCAGGGTGTTTAACAAAGGTTGTGTTTCCTTCAGCTTGCCCTGCAAACCGATACGGGAAGGACTGCACCCTGTTCTGTGCATGTGGTAAAGGTCAGTGTGACCCACGGACTGGCAAGTGTACCTGTCCTCCCGGCCAAATGGGACCCAGCTGTCAGCAAGGTAACAAAGCGGGACCCAAGGTCATCTTGTCAGTTGGGCACATACTTAAAACAACCAGCAAATAAAACTCTGCGCCAAACATTGTTTATGGCTGTGTTTCCCAACGCCTTAGCTTGATAACATTGCAGTTTGCTCTACTCAGCCCCTGTCCCTCTCCACTCCATCACCCTACCTTTCTCCTACCTCTGTCTCCTGCCCACAGCTCACTGCTTTGCTCCACCACATTGGTACCATCACCCTGGTTTCTCCATTAAGCTGAAGTCACTGCTTGCAGAAACTGGGGTCCAAACAGAACATAGTCATGGGGGAAAGGGTAGTTTGTACCACACAAAGTGAGGAGTGGGAGGGTGCTGTTGATGGATGGGACTAAATTTAGAAGCAAATTGCTTGAGCTGAATGAGTGAAGGGGGAGGATTTGCTGAAGAGGAGGAGTTGAGATGGGACAAAGGGAGGAGAGCAAGAGGAGCAAATGTGGAGTGAAGCCAAATGAGGCAATCTGATGAGACAGAGAGTGTTTGGATGAAACTGCTCATAAGCATGGAGTACAGTGTCCTACAGCCCTTGGGAGACACCGGGCACTTGGGATACTCTGGGGGGAGCACGTGTTGGTATTTATTCCCTGTCACCTTTATCATTTTTGGGGGATGCTAATTTTTTTTTTTTTTCAAACTTTGTTAATTCTCTGTAGTGTGTCCCCAGGGACAATATGGCCCCAACTGCCACCTGACATGTACCTGTCAGAATGGTGGTATCTGTGACCACGTGAATGGCAACTGCACTTGCGGGCTTGGCTGGACAGGAAGATCGTGTGAGAAAGGTAATTTTCTGCTTTGATGATAGTGTACATTCCAGCAGAGATTCACGGTGTCTACAGACCCACAAAGGGGACAGTTTTTCCTTAAGTAGACTCTCTCCCAGTTGCATTTATCTTTGTAGCTTCTCTCACACAGAACTGCTCCTAGTTAGAGCTTTAGCTCTTTCTTCTGGGACAGTTTCCTTGTGACTCCAGCTCTGTAACTCTCATAAATTCCTTTGCACATATTCTTTATTTCTCCTCCTGTCCAACTTTTGTGTTCTTTTGTTCATGGGAACTTTGTTTTGCATCTTCTTTCATGTGCTTCTGTGGTGTCAGGAGAAGCCCACATCTCCCTCCTCTTTTGTTATGTTCTCTCTTGTTATTCTCTTCCCTTTGACACTGGACTGCAGCTGAACTTCCCATGTATTGACATCCCTGCTAGCACAGTTCTGACAACATCTGTCCAAAGCAATTGAGATTGTCCTGCTATCTCGCCCTTACTTCTCCATGACAGCTCTCCCATACACAAGACAAAGCACATTTAAACAGAGTAAAATCAGTTTTCATTCCAGAAACCCTCCTGCCAGCCCAGAGTAGAGTTTTTCCATGTGTTTCTGTCCATCTCCCAAAAGTTATTCTGCATTTCTGTTCCAGTTTATGTCTCCAGAGAAGAGATATTTGTATAACTATGGACTTAAATGTTCAGGAAACCATGAGTTTACTGCTATGATGTCAAATAAATAGTTAGTTCTGAGTTCACATCCAAGACAATGTTGTCATTATATTCTCACTGCCAGGATGCAATCTCCCCAACATCTCCAGGGCTTCCATTTGCAACCTCTCTGTCCCTGATGTCTGTAGAATATTTGCCTTAAACTCTATGCATATCTTGATGAAGAACTGGTCATTGCGGGGAAGTGTCCCTATATAAAACCATCATATAGAAATGACACTTTTTAGCAGAATTCTTCAATGAAATTGTTTCACTTTGCACCTGAGGAGACTCACAGACCTGCTTCATACATGTGTGTATGCAGAGGTGGAGCAGGGATAAAAGACAAGATACTAACTACATGGAGCTACTCACAATGTGAATACCACTGTGGGCAGGCACTAAGAACGTGCAGTTGACCAGTAACTGGCTAACTTCACATAGCATGGGCCACCTGTGTTCCATCTCTATTTATCTGTTCCTTGAAATGTCTGTGACCATCCACAGGCTGCATTTGGGATGCAAAGTGCCAGTAGGGTCATGGAGGTGTCACCACATGGAGCAGTGGATCATGGGTCTATCTTCTAGATGTGCTTAGATAAAACATCTCTGATGTCAAGCACGGGGGTAGACATGCATCCAGCACATAAAGAACTGTGCATTAGAAGGGGTGTATTAGAAGGGGTGTGGTTAGTAGTAGGTCAAGAGAGGTTCTCCTCCCCCTCTACTCTGCCCTGGTGAGGCCATATCTGGAATATTGTGTCCAGTTCTGGGCCCCACAGTTGAAGAAGGACAGGGAACTGCTGGAGAGAGTCCAGCACAGAGCCACCAAGATGATGAAGGGAGTGGAGCATCTCCCTGATGAGGAAAGGCTGAGGGAGCTGGGGCTCTTTAGCTTGGAGAAGAGGAGACTGAGGGGTGACCTCATTAATGTTTACAAATATGTTAAGGGTGAATGTCATGAGATGGAGCCAGGCTCTTCTCAGTGATGCCAAATGATAGGACAAGGGGCAGTGGGTGTGAGCTGGAACACAGGAGGTTCCACTTAAATTTCAGAAGGAACTTCTTTATGGTGAGGGTGACGGAGCCCTGGGACAGGCTGCCCAGGGAGGGTGTGGAGTCTCCTTCTCTGGAGACATTCAAAACCCGCCTGGATGCCTTCCTGTGTGATCTCATGTAGGTTCCTGCTCTGGCAGGAGGATTGGACTGGATGATCTTTTGAGGTCCCTTCCAATCCCTGACATCCTGTGATTCTGTGATTCTGTGATTCTGTGAACTGTGATGTATCACTAGAAAGAGCTTCACTTTTCATCTTTTGACAGAGATAGCCGAGTTATTGGAAATGTGAGTCTTGATTTCAGTGTGGTTTGTGAGCGTGTTTTGACTAGAAATCAAAGACAGCTAATCAGGCAGCCTTTTTCTAGTGATTAGATATAACGTTCTTGGAAGATCTGGTCTGACATTTGCAGAGTTATGAATCTGATTATTTGGACAGCCACACTCATTTAAGTTGGTCTGCCCAGATTCAAATGATGACAGCAGTGAGAAGTTAACTTATGCAGAAATGATGCCTAGGTTAATTATATTGGCACAGTCACTTTTGGATGACTTGGCTTTCAGTAATTTGAGATGTGTTTAGTTCTGTAGAAGCAGATATCTCATTGTACATGGAAAGTCTGTTGCTATGTGTGAAAAAAAGATCCTTTGGGTTTTAATAGGAATTGGAACAGTGTGAACTCTAATGATATCATAGAGGAGGAAAAGCTTCGTGTTTTCTTTCACACTTTCTAAGTGCCTAAAAGAAAATATTGCTGTCAAAATAGGAAAAAAAAAATAGAAGATACCATTTATACCATTTATTATGTGGCTCTACAACAGATGGTGTGGGTTCAACACTGACGATATGAAAAGACAAATTTTGAAAAGTAGACTGTAAAAATTACAAGGAAATTGCTGTTTGAACAGCTATAGAATACAAAAGATTTCTCACAAAAGTGTGTGAATACATCCTTAGCTAGGCAGAAATGCTGTGTCTTCACAAGGAACATTCTCCTCCGCTCTGCAAGTTATTCTATGGGCATCATTTCTCAGCTATACAAACTATCACAGCAGAGCTTTTCTGGGTGAGGTCGCTGATTTTTGTTGTTGTTGTTTTTCTGTTTTTCTGTCCGTGTCCTGCCAGCAGAATGTCTCCCAGGGAAGTACGGGTCTGGCTGCAGCTTGGACTGCTCATGCCAGCACAACAGCACTTGTGACAGATTCACGGGCTGCTGCCTGTGCCCCGAGGGTTACTACGGCCACTCCTGCGAGCACAGTAAGTGGAGGCAGCCCTGGTACCCTGGTTTCTAACAGGAGTGGGATGTGGGGCTTCAGAGTAGTCACATAAACACCTTGCTGGTTCAGTTAAAATTTCTGGGGTGTCCCACATCACCCAGCTGCTTCCTGAGTAACCCTGATGCTGGGGTGGTACAAGTTTAAAAGCACACGACATTACTAGAGTCAATGATCAATGATCAATGCCATTTTTTGTTGACTTCCAGGGAATGTATCTGAGAATACAGAGGATTTTAAAGGGCGGGGGGGGGGGGTATGTTTTTCTTCATCAACCTTCCTCATATGATACTTCATTTTTCAGGGTGTCCCTTTGGATTTTATGGACTAAACTGTCTTCATGCATGTGCCTGTAAAAATGGAGCGAGCTGCGATGCAGTGACAGGACGGTGTGTTTGTCCTTTGGGTTATCAAGGTGTCTTCTGTGAGAAAGGTACTGGTACCCCTCTGATGTAAAGAAAAAAACCAAGCAAGCAAAAACCCAAAATAAAACCCCCAAAACCCTGTGTCATTACTCAAATATTTGTTGAAATCAGTTTCTTGAGCTTTATGAATACCTTGAAACACTAGATTTGGGATTGTTTACCTGTTATGTAGCTGAGAGTTCTCATTTCCTTATAAATTAACTAATCTGGTTCCAATTAATACGGTGAAAGTCCTGGTCTCTGTGATGTCTTGCAGCAATGAGTTCCACATGTCATTTATTAAATGTAAGTTCTTTTTTACTGATTTTAAATTTGCTTCTAAAACTCCAAATAAGATTATTAAATAGGTGCATGTCGGACCTGTTGAGTGTTATGGAGTGGTCTTCTAGAGAGTTCTAATTAAAAATGAAAATAAGTGCCAGTTGCATTTCTGGGACAGATTTACAGATACCTTTGATAGGTTAGATTAGAAGAACCCAATGTAAAGAGAGTTCATATAAATGTTATACCTATTCTGCTATGTTGGATTCTTCATTAAACTTGACATTTACACTAGCTTCAGTGGAGAGTTTATGAGCTTTCCATGGAGACATCCTGGAAAAAACTCTGGCCTAACATACATCTTGCTATTCAGATGTTCCTCTAAAGAGGTGTTCTTGCTGTCAGGCTGTGACAGGGGCTGGTTTGGGGAGAGGTGCCAGCGTCGGTGTGACTGTGGAGATGCTCCTTGTGATCCAGAGACTGGGAAGTGCCTTTGCCCACCTGGGAAGACTGGTGACAAATGTGACATTGGTAAGGGTTATATTTTCTACAGGCTGGACTATGTACAGTTAAACCAATATGACCTGTTGGTCTAAGCGTAACGGTGAAAGGACATTTGCTGGTATTCAAGAACACATTGTTTGTAGCAAATTACTCTTACAGATTGTCAACAGCTTTATCAACAGTCTGTACCTCTTGATTTAATCAATATTTGAATTGATAAACTGATAGGAAAACTGTTTATGGGTCAGCTGTAAAATGTCATTGGCTTTGAGTTTTGGAGAACGTGCTGGTGAAGAATACACCAAGAAGCCTATAATTTTGCAGATATAGTGGGGAAGACTTAAGAGCGTGCAAATGGGCATGAAGGGATCCAGTTACCCTGTGTTTTGTCACAGGCACATTTGTGACCCTTTTCAGACCAGTGCAAATGTCCATCTCTGGGTTTGCTTCCCCAGGAAGCCAGGAAGAATCCCTGTGGATGAGGGTAGTGGAGCTGCAGAAGCTCTGCCTGCCTCTGGGGTT